TGAGCTGTTTTTCACATGAAGGGACTGGAAATAATTTTTTTGAGATTGTCACACCATTTGATGTAGATCAATTACTACATGTTATAATTGTGTGCAAAATTTCAGATCAATCGCTCGCCCCGTTTTGCCAGAAAAATAATTATTATAATAGTGGAAACGACACAAAAATGAAAAGCGTTTAAACGCTTTTCACTCCAATCGGACTGAGAAAAGCACAAACATTCGATTTTCATTGTATTTCTTGTATATTTCTTAATTATATTTCATTTATATTTCTGTTTAAATTGCTCATCTTTACCTATGTGAAAAATTAAAAAAATCTATTTTTAGGCTTATAAACCTAAGTGGAGTTCCTTTAAACTCTATAACTTTAAAGAAATATGCATAAGATCAGACCAAAACACTGAAATAATTTATGATTTTTCTTAACAAATATAAAGTGAAATAATTTGTACTATAATGAATGCTTCATATCGATCATGTTAAAAAAGAACGAACTAAGATAATAACTTTTCATAATTCAAGTATTGATTTACATGTTACATGCAATAAATGACCGATAATGCAGTATTTATTACCATATTTCTTTTGCGTGACTAACGCAGTTTTGGCTGTTTTTCTTTCTTCATATATTGACTTTAATTTGATAATTTACGGGTAATGAGAGCGTCAAATGCAATTTGTTATGCAATTACTTTCTGTGTACACTGGACAAGGTTTTTTACTTAAGAGAAAAATAGTGGCGTGATGCTTTAACAACAAAGACTTTAGTAAGCATATCTGTAAGTTGAAATTTAATTTTCAGACTTGCAAAACCTGGAGCCATTACCGCTGTCAGGACATTGACCGCACTGACAGAGATCAGTGGCGGCACAACATTAAACTTCAATACATTTGTGTCAGATGCCGCACCGACGACGACGGAAGTTTTGATTACTTGATGGCTATGGAGCGCCTTCGCAAGGTTTGATTGTCTTAGTCGATTACTAATGTTACGATTGTTTGTAATTTCATTACATTACTAGTTTATCAAATACTACAGAAGCTATGGAGTTCTATTAATGATGCATCTTATTGAAAATAATTTAAAGTATATAACCTGGTAATTAAAATTTTGGGATAACTATTTTTATTTATGTACGTTGAAGTGTTTACAGCTGTACAAACCGAAAATGTTTTTCGGACCTTAAATGTCAATGGTTAAAGGAAAATATCCCGCTGTTATAAATTAAACTAAAATCTAGGGTGTTACTGTATGTCAAATTGGTAATCCAATTGTTACTTGTTTTAGGCCTCATTGGGCGGTATTCAGAAACTAAACAAGGCTGCAGAACGCGAGAAATTGTTCACCAAAAATGTGCCGTGTGATACCTCCTTGCATTCTGAATTCCAACAACATGAACAAGACCAAATAAGCAACACGCTGCTGGCACACTGTCACACCTCAGATAAGACAGCACTTTACAGTACACCGGACGGTGACTGTTTCTTCAACTCTGTGTCAACACTTCTATGTGGTAATGAATCGCGTAGTACTGAATTAAGATATAGGTGTTGTATTGAAATGGTGTTGAATAAATTACAAATCAATGCTCAATCACAGTTCAGGAGACTCACCGTATTAGCTCCGACTTTTGATAAGGACTCAATTAATTGTGCGCGTCCAGGATCGTATTCGTCTATGCACATGTTCATGGCCACATCAAGATTTCTCAATCTGCCAATTCATGTAATTTACCCTGCAGTGAACGGAACCACTAACTATAACTTCAAAACAATGAACACTTTAATTAGACCACCATTCGCAGATCCAGAACAGGGCACCATTTACCTGATGTGGACAAGCCTTAGTCTGCCAAGGGAGCAACCCACCTCCAGTAACCCTTGGAAAGCCAACCACATAGTTCCACTGGTTGCTAATGTAACTAGGGGATCGATACAGAAAATGCCGTATCTGTTAAACTGGAATTCATCCAAAAGGGACAACAGTCAGAATCCTATTACAACCAAAAATATGTTTCAGAACCTGCCACACGAAATCATCAACGTTGAGGAAAATCAAAGTACGGAAAGTACAATCCAGATGAAGTCAACAAAGAGAGTCAACAAGAAATCGAAAGTCGGTATTCACCCAGTACGGGATGAGGCGCATGGCGCACCGACCACGGACTACAACAACATGAATGAAGTTGACGACCAACACTCAGTCGGTAATCACCCTGTGCGGGATGAGGCGCCTGGCGCGCTGACTGAGTCTAATTCATCCGACGACTGTTTAAATTCTTCAATGGATTCTATTGTTAGTGATAGTGTGAATGAAATTGACTTTAAGCCTGGTCCGTTAGGGTCAAAATTTATGGAAATCGGGGATATCACTAAATTAATGGGTGGACCGTACACAGTGCTCAATGAAATTCCGACGGGACGAAAAGATGGAAACTATTATGTGATAGACAATAAAATGAACTATGAACGTAGATCCAACGGGAAAAGATCCGAATTCTGGGATGACTGTGGTTCCTGGACTAATGGTACCTCACCAACTTTTACCTTTATTCAACGCGGAGGTAAACTTGTCTCAATTCACAACAGATCGGGTATTTATTGTTATGAAAAACAGAAGCAGAAAAAGAAATTTTTCGAACCTTTGGAGCCCCAACCGTCCGCAGACGAACTTCTTGTTATAAAACGCTTATATAATACACTGGTTGCAAGTGATCAGGGACCTGAACAATTTAAAAGGAAATGTACTTGGATTGAGAAAATACCCTCGTCAATGAATGAAGTATCATTAGACATTGCTATAGTTGAATATGTAGGAACATTTCCTGAAAGGAAACCCCACGGCAAATCTGTTGGCTACAAGAAACCCTACATTCGTACGAAACCTAGCGTAAAACGGGACTTAAAAAATCAACTTAAAACGCAATCTGTGAAAAATGTGAAGAATGCTATGAATAAGAGCACAGGAGACGATTTTTCCAAACAACGAAACGCGAAACAACTAAGGAATTTCAAATACCAGCAAAATAAACTGTCCGATAATGCACCTTCGAACGCGGCCGATCAAATGATATATGTGGAAGAAATGCTAAATACTCATGACCTGGTGCAAGCTATTCATCTTATATCGGGACTTTATCATCCAGCTATAACTCTCCTCAACCAACAACAAATAAGGGACATAAAACGCTTTTGTGGGACAGGAAGAACGGTTTTGGGAGTTGACAAGACTTACAATTTGGGAGATTTTTATGTTACGCCGACCGTGTATAAGGATTTATCTGTGATTCGAGAAAGTAATGGACATCACCCAATAACATTCGGACCAACTTTCATTCATACAAGTTCATCGGCTGACACATATTCGTACTTTTTTCATGACATTGGTGTTCACTTAAGTAGGAACGAAAAAAAGAACCTTGTTATTGGATCCGACGAAGAAAAATCCTTTAAAGTTGCAATTAAAGATGGTCTACCACACTCTACACATACTCTATGTACGCGTCATCTCCGGCAAAATACAGACAATTATCTCAAGGATCAAGTTGGGTATCCAAAATCCGACAGACTTCAAATAACCGAGGCAATTTACGGACAAGACGGCCTCACGTATACAGTAGATGTCGACACATACAATTACAGACTTGACCGCTTAAAAGAAAAAATCCAATCAATGGATAGGGAGGTTGGTGATAAAAAATTTCTACCGTATTTTAATGATGCCACTGGTACAGAAATTGTTATATTTTGATAAAATCCATTTAGCCCTTTTGCCATATAAAGGGGGAGAAGATAGATATTGAGATTTATTTGGTTAAAACACATTTTAACTTGAATATTTCTCGGTATCTTTCGTTGTTGGAATAATATCAATGGATAATATCAATATAAGGGGAAAGTCCGAGATATTTTTTCAGAAGAAGAGGCCCAGCCTAAGGAAATGCTAAAGGCTGGGGGTGTAAAAGATGCCACATCCAAATGGGCATCTGCTCCAGTTTTCATTTGGAAACATGACGGGTCTGTGCGTTACTGCATAGACTATAGGAAGTTGAATAGTAGACATAGATTTAGATCTAATGAATTTAAACAATTAAAACAATTAAAAAAATTAAAAAATTAATTTTGACCTATTTATGAACAAAACTAAAAAATGAATACCTTTAAAATTTTTAATAAAATTATTGAACTGTCACATCCGAAAAATCATGATTAAATCCTCTCATTTAATTAAATTCCTTGTACAGCCGATATACAATGGCCGCCATACAGTGCGCAAAATCTGATTGGCTAATTCAAATGCAAGCGTTTAAATGAGTCCAGAAGTTTCTAACGGAATATTTTTTCAACGAAATAATTTCCCATGCACCGTCCGTGTGTTCGAATATATTTTTCCGTTCAAAAAATTGGAATCAATCTGTAAAACGCCTTACTTAACCAGTATGGCCGATGAGCAAAATAGACTGATATTTATATTTTATTTTTAATTAATAAGTACATTGTTTGAAAGTTTTTGTTAATGATAGACCATGCAATTGAAAGAACAGTATATAAGCTTTTGAATAAAGCTTGAAAGGCAAGTCAACAGACATTTTTTTAATTTTTCAAAATGCTACGCGTTTATGAGCAATAACTATTAGACGTCAGGCTTGACCAACATAAAACTCTAACAAGCCTGTAACGTCTAATCTATTGGACTATTCCTAGCTTGGCTATGATCCAGAGGTGGAAGGTAAGTCAATTGTTTGTATTGTCAATCCCTTTTTAATCAATCGCGACAGTTCTATAATATTTCATCATAAAAATTGTTTCAGATAAACTCTCATTTTTAGCTCGACTTTTTTTTTTGAAAAAAAAAAGTAGAGGTATTGTTATAGTCGGGTCGGCGTTGCCGTCCGCAAACTTGTACCTGGATTATAACTTTTTAATTTCATGGTGTATTGTCTTCATACTTGGCCACAACAACCCTTGGGACAAGACCTTTCAGTAAACAAACTAACCTTGACCTTCATCCATAAATGACCTTGACCTTCAAGGTTAAAAGTCCAAATTTTGCTTGTTCATGCTGTTATTGGCTGTAACTTTGTTATTTTTGAATGGATTGTCTTCAAACTTCACCACATGACTCCACCACGTGATACCACCACGTGACTCCACCACGTGTCTCCACCACGTGACACTACCACGTGACACCACCACGTGACTCCACAACATGACTCCACCGTGTGACTTCCACGTGGCACCACCACATGACTCAACCATGTGACTCCACCAGGTGACACCACCACGTGACTCCACCACTGGACTCCACCACCACGTGACACCACCACGTGACTCCACCACGTGACACCACCATGTGACTTCGAATTGGGTGTCTCTATTTATATATATATAAATTAGTAAATTTATGTATATAGAATATATAGACAAAACTAATGTGACAAAACAGAATGATTAATTTTATAAAAAAGGAAACATTAATTATGATTAATATTTTGTTCAAACATTTCTTTGTTTGCTTTTAGAGAAAGTAAAAAGTCGAGCGTAGCCCCCGCCCGGCGTTGGCTCTTGTTAATATATAATTCACTAGACAGGGTCTTATTCATTATTTTATGTCAAACAGAAAAAAGAAAAAATCGTTTTGTAAATTTATTCAGAGTAAACAACAGTTTCTGGCGGATAAAGCTATTGAATTACTCCACTTGAATCCAAGTCAGCTCAGTTCAATCCGTATATCCGCAATTTTTTTTTTCATTCACAAGGTGTGTGGGAATTATAAACAAAACAAGATTTTTAATCAAACCAGTGAACGCCACAACATAACAGGTATATAATTTGCCTAATTCATATTAATTAGAATCAGTGTCACTGTCAGGTAGCTGATCCTGATACGTTTGTATGGCCTAATCATTGGCGAACACGGATCAACGGCTGCAGATCTAGTTCCTAGTTCTGTTTATATGTCGCTTTTATTTGACATTGCGAAAGTACTATAAAACCTGTTCGCTGAAGTATCTTTAGCCTAAATCCAGAGGCGGAGCTGGTGTTATGGCTGACATTTGGGATAGGCTTTCAGAAATCTGTTGAAATTAAAAGTTACATTGCTGTTGAAATGAGTTAATGACTGTATCAGCAGTTTCCGGCAACAACAGGGTTCGTACATTCTTAAAAAGTGCTTAAATTTGAGTCCCTTTCTTAAAAAGTGCTTAAAAATGAAAAAAAGTGCTTAAAAGTCCTTGAATTTGATTACTCTCTTGAAAAGTGCTTAAAAAGTGCTTAAATATGCTGAAAATGTGCTTGAAAATTTGAAACACAGAATAACATAGTTTCGATAAAAATTAACAAAGTAAAAAGAAAATGATCCAATTTAGTATCAAAATCAATAAAATGTTTACTCAAGGTAACAGTAAGTGGGCAAATTGCAGTTGTTTTGAACTAATCTGTATTTGATGATCCTTTCTTGTTCTTCTATAAATTCCTTAAAATTGTGGTCAGAAAATGTTTATTCAACAAAAAATGGCAAACAAACTACCCATCTTCGCTTGAAAATTGTGTCGGTATATGTGCAACAAATGTGCTTGAAAAATGGGAAAACATGCTTAAATAGTGCTTAAAAAGTCCTTGAATTTTGGCATTGGAGATCTGTATGAACCCTGAACAAGTCGCACTTTTTAACAAATAAAATAAAGATTGGTCTATGGAGGTGTATAAAACTTTGACGGGACAAAGTTAGGTACCTGTCCAGCTTTGCCATGTGTTTTAACAGTTTAATATTGCACTTTCATTTTACTTTTTAATTTGAATTTAGGCCTGAAATGTAATGCCTTTTTTCACCTTTATTAAAAAATTCATAGCAGTTTTCCGGACCTTTTTTATTTTGAAAATAATTCAGTACCATAAAGCAATATTAAGATGAATTTATCAGACCCAACCTTTTCTGTGTCGTCTGCAAAAATATTTTCTGAAGTATTGATTTACCTAAAGTGGGGTCTTAGTTATTGCACATGGATATTCAAACTAGAATTCCCCAGGTGTTGCTTATTTTTGAATGTCGCAAGTTCTCTTATGCAACTTTTAATAACAGGCAAAAATTCAAAACATGTAAATCATTGTACTTTTTTAAATGTTGTTTAGCATAGAAAACAAATTTTTCTCTGATTGATAAAGTAATGTGGATGCCTTACTGGTAAAAATTGACTGAACTGGACGAAAATGATAAACAGCCGGAAAACTGCTAGCTAGGGGACGGAAACTGCTAGGAAACCAGTATGCAAATAAACCCTGTGGAGGCTTTCCATTATTGTCGCCTGCACGAACACAATCTGACATGGTCATGGATGCAGACTTTGCAGTTGAACTTCGAACTTGGAGATCTGAGTGAGTGTTACTGATTTTATTTGATATGTCAGAAATGTTCTTTGATTGATCATTGTTAATTTTGCTGTAGTTTTTAATTGAGTTGATATTCTTGTGCCCAGATATCTGTACTATTTGGTTTGCTGGAACTCCCTTGTCTTGGAGTTATTGTATTGGTCTCTTCCTTGAACTGTAATTTAACAAAACAAATTTAGAAAATCACACTTTGAAAACTTACATATCCTACCGTGACCCAAATTTGGCGTTCTCCAAAATTCGGCAATGTTTGTTTTTCATCATTCACCTGAGAATTCAGAGGTGAATGTCAATCATATTTATGTCCCACAGAGTATTATTACAACTTGAGTGATTTCCTGCACTAAAGATGGAGATACGACTGATATGACATGGAGAAAAATGTGTGTTTTACCTGATGCAATTTCAAGTTTATCTATACCTTCCTTTATTTGATTGATATTGTTGCTTAAAATAATTTGACAGTCTCCAACTGTTATTGTCCCCCGCCTTTTCGAAGAAAAAAGGGGGACATAGTGTAAGACTCTGTCCGTCCGTCACACTTTCATGTCCGGTCCATAACTTTGTCATTTATCAAAGGAATCTGAAATAACTTGGCACAAATGTTTGTTATAATAAGACGATGTGTCATGCCCAACAATCAGACCCCTAACTCCAAGGTCAAGGTAGCACTTGCTCATTCAAGGTCAACTTTGTCTATTTGATGATATATGTCATGTCCGGTCCAAAACTTTCTTATCTTTGAAGGGATTTTGTAAATACTTGCCACAATTGTTCACAATTATGAAACGATGTATCATGCGCAACAACCGGTCACCTACCTGCAAGATCAGGGTCTCATTTGGATTAACATAGTCTATTACAGGGTATATTTTGTAACCGGTCCATAACTTTACTATTTATCAAAGGAATCTGAAATAACTTGACACAAATGTTTGTTATAATAAGACGATGTGTCATGTGCAACAACCACACCCCTACCTCCAGGGTCAAGGTAGCACTTGCTCATTAATTGTTCACAATAATGAGATGATGTGTCATGCTTAACAGTCAGTCATCTACCTCCAAGGTCAAGGTCACACTTGGAGGTCAAAGATTAACATAGTCTATTACAGGGTATATTTTATGTCCGGTCCTTATCTTTTTTATAGATGAAAGGATTTTGTGAATACTTGCCAGAAATAGTCACTATAATAAGACAATGTGTCATGCGTAACACCTGCATCCCTACCTCAAGGTCACACTTAGAGGTCAAAAGTTAACAGTCTGTTTCAGGGTATATTTTCAGGGCTCTCCTTGGTAAAATTTGGGGCCGAATATCGGTCCCATTCCCCCACCCAAAAAGTGTGTTTTTTTCCCCTAGAACCAAAAAAAAAATCCCCCTTGAAATTAATATTTAACTGGCATAGAAAACGCCGCTCGGTGAATATATATTCTGCAAACGGCAACCAGAAATTAGTACGTATTCCGCGGACGGCAATCGGAAATTAGTACGTATATATAAATATGACGTTCTGGACAGTTTTTAGCATTCCAAAATGTCGCATAATTTCAAGTCTTACTGAAAAAAAAAATTCCCCCTTGAATGAAAAATATTTGAAAATCATGCAAAATTCCCCCCCTGCATGGACCCTGGCCCCTGTCTCAAAATGCTAACGAGAGCCCTGATTTTGTACTTCTTCAGGATTTTGAAATAACTAGGCATAAATAGTCACAATAATAAGACAGTATGTCAGGTACAACACCTGCACCCCTACCTCCAAGGTCAAGGTCACACTTAGAGGTCAAAGGTTAACAAAGTCTGTTATATGGTTTATTTTGTGTCCCATCTTTAACTTCTTCATAGATCAAGGGATTTTGAAAATACTTGGCACAAATAGTCACAATGATAAGATGATATGTCATGCGTAACACATCTGTCCCTACCTCCAAGGTGAAAGTCACACATAAAGGTCAAAGATTTACTTAGTCTGTTATAGGGTATATTTTGTGTCCAGTCCATAACCTGGGATTTTAAAAATTCTTTGCACAAATAATCCAATAATAAGATAAGATGATATGTCAGGCGCAAAAGATGGGTCTGTAACCTCCAAGGTCACACTTAGAGGTCAAAGATTGACATAGTGTGTTATAGGGTACATTTTGTGTCCGATCTATAACTTCTACATATAAGTGATTTTAAAAATACTTGGCACAAATAGTAATATTAAGAAGACGATATGTCATGCACTGATGCACAACACCTGCACCCCTACCTCCAAGGTCAAGGTCTCATTATGATTAAGAGGTCAATGGTTAACATAGAATTTTAAATTCTGTGTTTCATTTTACCAGTATTTCTTTAATAAATTTATTGTTGCATTTGCAGATCTAGCATCGATTATAATTTTGGTCTGAAAGTCCTGAAATCCATAACTAAATCTTTTGAAATAGCACAATTTTATACTTCATGTGAAACTTCCCCGAGGCGGGGGACGTTGGTTACTCTGTTAAAAGTTCTTGCTAACTACTTTTACTGCTGATCTAGGTCAACATACTACGTAACAATCCCGCCATAATTAAAAATTTACTGCAACCAATCAGAATCGCAGAATTTAGATGATGTTTTCAGATCGTAGTAAGATTTTACATCAGCCATATTTGTTTATATTTGGCAACTTCTGAACGATTACATTGTTAGAAATCAATTTGAAGTAACTTTTAAATAGTTTTATTATAGATTACTCTAGTTTATTGGAAATACCATTAACATTTGTTCTTATATCACCATATTTAGGTTACACCGGGATACCACATGGCGGCTAGGGCTGTACCGGTACACCGATATATTGCGGTGCAGGATAAATAAATATTGGACCGCGATTCACATTTAGTTGTACCGGTTTTATTTAGTAATAACTGTGTTCCATAATTTTCTCTATAAATAAAAGAAAGTCTTCCATAATTTTCTTGATAAATAAATGTTATGAAAATGTCCTGTTCACAAAAGAAAATAACAATAAAGAAGGAAGAGTGTTAAAAAAAGGGTGTGAGGGTAAAAAAATTACACCGTGGGCGGGTAGGGTAAAAAAATTACACAGTGCGCAGGTAGACAAATGCTTGAAAAATCGGTGATATACTATTGCAGACGGAAATAATTACAATATGATAAAAAAAAATCAATTACAAGGAAAAGAGAGACCCATGAACAGGGCATTTTTTCCTTCTATAACAGGGGCCGATAACAGGCCCCTTCACAATTCAAAATTGCACTTTTTTTTCACAAAGCGCAAGAAAAAATTCACCATTTCAAAAGAGATTTCATGAAATTTTGGGACTTTGTCTTCAAATTTCATTGTTTACCTTCTGGTAAAACTTGATTTTCCCTATTGCAAACATGTAAATAGTTTTAATCAAGTTATATGGTATTTGTGCATGTTTACCAGATTAAAGTACCAGCTCAAAGTAGATTTTACAGAAATTATTATCAAGCTTTATCATTTCCGGTTTCAAAATTTCATTAAATGGCAAATTTTATTATGTCTTTTTTTCACAATTTTATGACACATCAGGCTTTTTTCACAAAATGAACAGGCCCAGGCACCTTCACAATTTTGGCAAAAAATGCCCTGATGAAATTATTGAATTCTAGATGCTAACAAAGTAGACATGTTAATTTTTCTAAAAAAAAAACATTAATTGCCACAGTCACTCAAGCCCTGTGAATAGACCTAGTCTGAAACTATGTTAAGAAAATCATAAGGATATAGTTTAGATTGTTAGTTACTGAATGAAAAGTGTTTAAAGTTTTATTTTGCTGTTAAGTTACTCATAGTTGATGCTTCAATAGTTGAAACAGTTTAATTTTTTGTTAAAGGAAAGTATCCACTAATTCTGTTTTGCGAGAGATATAAATATATATATAA